GATTTATTACCTCCCGCGAATCAAAATATAACGTTGTTTCCGGTTTTATGTTTTACGCGATGGCAGAGAGAGGGAGAACTCTGATTCTCAAGCCCGAGCTCATGATTTCAGTTCCGAACAATCGTGCCAAGCAGAGCTGAGGTAAACAAATTTGATGGTGTTTGTTCCTGCGCTCAAGTGGTATTTCTTTCTCGCCCTCGACTCCACTGACGGCTCGAAAATACGGTTCTCACAGGCATAATAATTCGGAACTTCATCTTAGACCTCCCGTGCTTCGGTGACGTAGCACTTTGCAGCGCCTAAATCGTTTTCTTTGTCCGCATCCAGACGCGTTCATTTTTGACAGCTCTTCGCCAACTGACAAGGGATAGATCGTTCGCTTATTCGGCTAGCTTTCGGTAGCTCAAATTCAAAAAGAATTGCTCAGCCGTGCACGCGATTAGACTTCTGAAAATATTAATATACACAGTAAGTCTGAAAAATAACGGGATTAATTTTTTTTTACTTTTTATATAAGTGTCATCTACTGACAATTAATGGCGTTTAGCAATTTCACTTTAATAGATATTGATTTTACGAGTATCGAATTTACACGGATTATAGCGGAAGTGTACAGTACTTATTTTACAGTACTTATGATTAACAGTACTTATAATTATAGTGCACCTCGTGAAAATACAATGGATCAAGGAGCCATCAAGTTTTGTTTTAAACTCGATAAAACTGCAATGCTATGAAATATTGAAACCACTTTACGGAGATAATTGTCTATTCTAAGATGGTTTGTAAGATTTTGTGACAATAAGAAAGATTTGAAAAACGACAAATAGGACGGAAACGGCTTTAACGGAAGATCTCATGGTAAAGGTCTGTTAAACAATGACAGTTGACTCGAATGTGGCTTGTGCGAATGTTAATAAAGGACTCTTTTGTGTCAAAATTTACATTGCACAACATTTTACGCAATGATTTAACCTTTTCGCTACGGCAGCGTCGACCGAATAGCAATTACAATGTAAAGAAAAGGCGTTGAAATTGACATCTTTTAAAATGATATATTCCTATTTTTTAGAAATTAAATATTAGATTTTATCAAAATTAATATAATCGTGATTTGTTTAGTTAGTTAAAAACCCATAGTTCATATATTCTCTGTTTATTTATGTGCTAAATCAGCTTATTGAGTTCGTAAAGTTCGAAAATTTTGTTTTTATGACTTTCTTTTTGTTATGTAGTTTACATAATAGTAATCTCTATTAATAATATCAAGTTATTCTACATGCTTGTAGCTTTCTAAAAATTTTTCTTTCCTTTTATCTTTATTATTCTTTTATAGTACGACTTAAGAAATTTAGAGTTTATTGCAAATTGACATACTCTGTGGTGGATGATGTATTGATATGTAAATTAACGTAAATTTATATAAATTCTACTTTAGAAACAAACAATTGGATTGTATTTATTTGATTTTTATAGATGCCTCGCACACAAAAAGAAAATGTAGCACCACTATATTATTAATAAAGTAACAATATTATTATTGAAAAAAAATTTTGAATAGATTTATGTTATTAAATAATTTATTACATTATTCAACAATTTATTGCAGTGTAATTCTATGTTTCCAAATATTCTATAATTTTTAACAAATATGTCGGTTTTGGGACCCAATTTTTTAGAGTTTAATTTTCGTGTGTTTAGAAAAACGTTAATTTCTTAAAAATTAAGAACAATATTATAGAAAATATAATACTATTCGGTAGGCGGCAGTCTCTAATATATATACTAATAGTTGAAGGCTCTTCTATTATTTTATAATAAGATAAATATGATAATATAAAGCAAATAGAGCCGTAGCTGGATCTCAGTGTTCAATGATTTATTTTAACATTAAACGCTTATATATGATCTTAGCACTTTTAGATATGATCAAATGTTTCGGCCATCGGTTTCGGCCATCTTCAGTGTAAGGAAAAGGTAACGAATACAATTAAAACGTAATACAATTACAACGCAACTCGTAGAATGACGGTGGTATGTGAATCCATTAATTGGCCGTATTTGGATTGGCAATCGTTCTGTGAATATAGTTAAAGCGGATTTAACAATGTCAAGTAGACAGTCAATATATAAAATTATCAGTAAAATTAGCCGTAAAAATGTCAATTAGTATAAACTATTACCTAGAGTCATTCAACAATAGAATGTGTGAATTCTGAACCTATTTGTCCGTACGTAATTGAACGTCAACCTTGTGTCAAATTTAAAAAAATAAAATATAATTGTATGACTTGTATTCTACAGTTCGTCTAATATACAGAGTGTCCGGTAATTGCTGAATCACCTCTCGGGTTAAACCGAGTAGAAAAGTTCTCTACCGTTTTGCGATTTTCGCAATAATTAATGAGAAATTAATTAAAAAAGATCGGCCAATTTGCGTGAGAGAAACGCGCGGCGAGAAGAGACAGCCTGCCGTTACATGGTCGCTAGGACGCAAGGATCTAGCGTTACGCACCGCTCCTAATTTGCCGTTGTCATTTGTAGAGCGCTCCTACCAACGCTCCGTGGCGCGCCTAGTAACCAAATAACAGTAGGTTGTATCGCCACGGGTCTCTTCTCGCCGCGCTCTAAAACTCACGCGAATTGGCCGATATTTTTTAATCAATTCCTCATTAATTATTGCGAAACTCGCAAAATGGTAGAGGACTTTTCTACTCGGTTTAACTCGCTCTACCTACACCCGAGAGGTGATTCAGCAATTATCGGACACTCTGTATATATTATATACAGGATTTCTGGGAAAGATTACACGAAACCTCTAGTAAGCGAGTAGAGAGCAATAAACTGAAGAAGAAAGTCCTTTATCATTTTGCAATTTTTGCAATAATTATGGAGAAATTAATTAAAAAATTTGGCGAATAAACGCACGTTTCGCGTAGATAGTTTCGTTCAGATTGTGAGATGTATGCTCTAGGCGTGTGCTAGGTGTGCACACATCTTATAAAGCATACATCTTAATATTGCACGCTTATTTGCCAATCCTTTTTAATTATTATCTTAATAATTATTGCAGAAATTACAAAACGGTGAAGGACTTTCTTGCTCAGTTTATTGCGCTTTACAGAGGTTTCGTAATCTTCCTCAGACACTGTATACCTGTGCATATAAATTTTTATATTTTGAATTTTTAGCGAAGAAATAACTTTTTAAAGTAAAATAATATGCCGGTTTTACCTTTCCTCTATGCTTGAAGTAGGCGTTGACATAAGAAAATCGCGTGAAATTAGTTGCATATTTCAAACGATCTTCTTATGTCAACGCCTACTTTCTCTCCTTACCGCGCGCGCGCTGCACAGCTATGGCCAGCACCGCCAGGCGTTAAGAGCAGCATTATCCGACAAATTAAATGATCCTTTTCTTATAAAGATTCCAATTATTAAAATTTAAAAATTAGAAGAACAACTTTATAGGCCGCTTAGCGTTACGCAATAAAATGTACAATTCTTTACTTATTTTATTTTTTTAACTCATTATACTAAGATGACGACTACAATCGGCGTTAAAAACAAAAAAATTAAACAAACTGAAGATCCGTCCTCGATTTTTCGACCAAAAAATGACTAGCAATAATTTGCATCGGCCGTATTCATTTAATTTGACTTTCTACGACTAATATTTATTTGTAAAATTTAAAATTCCGAAAAGGAACTTTCTACGATGACATTTCTGCTGTGATTCTCAAACGCAATCAATTTCGGACTGACTTGTTGTTAAACTTTATAGTTGATTTGTGATATTGTTCATTTTCTAAGAGTGTGACATTTATTGACATCATTTCTATCAACTTTATTCTTTGACTGGATACGTTAATACGTTCTTTGCTACGTAAACACCCATCAGCGATGGCCATTTTATTAATTGTTCTATTAATTGTAATATTTAATTTATAGCAGATTTAGAATTAAGAAATGAATAAGATTTGGAAAATTTGATGAGATTTTACAGAAGAAATCTGTTTTTGTTTATAAATAGAAAATATATTGCCAATTGAGGCGTAGAGTGTAGGAGAAGCGCAAATCCCATATAAATTAAATCTTTAAATCAAAATTCTTTAAAATCCATAAATATTGAAAAATTAAGGTTAAAAATAGAAGCAAAATTTTAATTCAGAAATGTTTTTTGATGCGACGGCCAAGTATTGAGCAATAAGATGCCGTGAGTTGAACTACAAGAGATTAAAATGGCTCAGAAGTTCAGCTTGATAATATAAACGCGTGATCAGATCGCGAAATTCAGAAATACAAACTTACAAAGATGCACGAAGATAACTATTTTATTATATACATATATATATATATATATATATACAAAGTGACCATTGGAAAGATGGCTAAAGTGAATTGCTATAACTTTTCTAAACGAATAGACAGAATAAAATGAATTAAACATCATTTTGTAGAGGAAACCTGTCAATTTTATTACATATTGTATAAAAGAGGTACATGATGATTAAATACATAATGATTAATTAAAATAAACATGATAAAAAAATGCTATAAATCTGTCTGGGCGCTTAGTGATAAATATTTTCAAAGTGTTGTCTATCGGAATTGGCACAGAAACTCGAAAGTTTTTGAAAACTGTTAAATACACTTCTTAACATGACTGGAAAAACATCCTGAATGCATTTTCGAATACTCTGTTTTAGCTTATCAGTGTTTTCCGATAGACAACATTTTGAAAATATGATTTATCACTGAGCGTCCAGATAAATTTATAGCATTTCTTATCATATTTATTTTAATTACTTAATTATTGTATACGTCTATCATATAAAATAAAATTGACGGGTTTTCTCTAGAAAATAACGTTTAATTCATTTCATTCCGTTCATTCGTTGCAAAGTAATAGCAATTTACATTTTCAATGGTCACCTTGTATATAAAGAGATGAAGACACTCGCGAAGTATCATTCCCGGTTTGTTCAATATGTTTTGCAGTCTCGCGGCTAATGGGCGCCGCAGCGGCGGGCGCCGGGACCAATATGGCCGGCTGCTCGGTGGGCCAGTCTATGGGTGACGTAACTAAGTCGTCGGGAATGGGGATGGGCGTCGGCGTCGGAGTCGGCGTCGGCATGGGCGTCGGCACGATGCAATTTCCCCTTGCTCAGAGGCGGAAGAGACGTGTGCTCTTCACCCAAGCCCAGGTCTACGAGCTCGAAAGGCGATTCAAGCAGCAAAAGTACCTCAGCGCACCTGAACGGGAGCATCTGGCGTCTTTAATTCATTTAACGCCTACACAGGTACGTTATTATTTCTAACATTTATTTCAGATTTGTCGAATATAATGTTGTTTTAGAGCGCATCAAAATCAGATGTGCTTGCAATTACAGATTTAAATGTAACTTATTTGGTCAGTTAGTTCTTATGGAGAAAGAAACTAAATGCCAATTTTTTGATTTTTAAATTTTGGATTTCTTGAGGTTTAGATTGCTGAGGTTTAGAACTGTTTAAAAGCGAAATAATGCTGAATGCATATAACATGTTATATGCATAATAGAGCCAATTTAGCAATCATATATCAGAAAGTAATCATTGAAATCGGAATTTACTCCTCATCTCTAAATAATTATCTTAATTTTTCAATCTATAGATTATTCCCAATCTAAATATTCAAGAAAAATTTAACATTAAAATAAATAAAAATAATAAATTTATTTAAAATAAAGTGTAAACTAAAAAAATAATAAATTGAAGTAATTTTGATAATAAAAATTAAGAATTAAAATCTAGATAAAAAAATTTAATTATGAAAAAGAAATACAATTATTAAATATTGAAGCAAACCCATATTTAAATGCAAAAATTTGTGCCAGTTTTTATGGCAAAAATTGATATTTGCAACGATGTGTATCAAGATTATTATTGAAGAAAATCTATTTGCAAATTTTAGTTTTAAAAGAACAATAGTTGAGCAAATGGACAATGGATTTAGCATGTTTCGTACTTATTATTTTTCTTTTAACTAGCCTTTTTTCATTAATTTCAAGTAAACGTTTTTTCTATCTAAAATCTTGAGCTTCTTTTTGGATAATAATCGATGAATAGAAAATAGAAGATTCAGTCAAAAAGTTTTTTTATAGGAATTTCCATGTGCTACTTTTATAAATAAAGAACTTTATATTTATGTCATTGTTTATGATTATTTTATCTTCTAAGAAGAGGATGGGGGTAAAAAGTAGGGATTTCTACCTCCGGCTTCTTTAAAATTTATATTTCCTTATGTTTTTACTCCTGCTAAACTTATTTCTGAAGATAAAAATTATCTAAACCCCGGAGAAAATCCTCAAATTTATCAATCTTTGTAAAAATATGCTCTTATGTAGAATACAACGTTTCGCATTGGGATCACTTATGATTGTGTAAGCATCTTTCTTTGTACATTCCAAAGCAAAATACATAATGCATTGATTAGATCAACCTCGGAATTAGTTGCACATCTGATTGTGGTAGACGTAAATTATCGTGATAGACGCTCACTTTTCTCTCGCGCGCGCCGTAGTGGCTGGGTCAGCGTCGCCGAGCGTTATAGCGTTTTCGATTATACAGGATTTGAACGACCCAGGGTTGGTTAATGACGTCATTGCAACCTCTCCACCAATGAAAGACTTGCATTTATAGTAAAATAGTGATTGATCAACCCTGGGTCGTTCAAATCCTGTATAATCGAAAACGCTATTAGAGACAACACTATCCGATAAATAAATGGATTCATGTCAGATTTTTATGTCACCCAATGAGGTACCGCTGACATGCTTTTGTTTTTTAACGATTTTCTTAATAGTTATATCGTGAATCTTCTTCGGATTATCAACGTATAGAGTGATTAGAGGTAACAGAATACCTATACGTTGATAATGTAAATAATAGTGTTTTCGATTATACGGATTTTGAACGATCCAAGGTTGATTAATGACGTCATTGCATCGTCTCCACCAATAAGGGCCACTTCGACCAAGTTCTGGTTAATTTAATCGTCGATTACAGAGTTGCCAACATGACAAATAAAACACATTTTGTAATAGAAAAGGGTTAGAGAGACGGATATATCGGCAGCAATACTGTTGGTAACATTAAAAGTTAATCGTCGATTACTTTAACCGGAACTTAGTTGAAATGACCCTAAAAGACATGAATTTATAGTAAAATAGTGATCGATTAACCTTGGGTCTATCAAAATCCGTATAATGGAAAATGCTATAAGATTCACGAGATGACTATTGGGGAAATCATAAAAAAAGAACGCGTCAGCAGTATTTCATGGGTGACATAAAAATTTGAACAGAAATCCTTCAGAAATGAGGTCAGCGGGTGTCGAAACGTAAGGTGATGTAAATTTTGAAAGAACCACTCCGGAGGCAGAAATTGCTACTTTTTACCCATCCTCCTTTTTTAAAATAAGAAAAACTTACTTACATTATTCAGATAATATGTATTTAATTAATAGATCAATTGCTAAAAGTACAAAAAAAAAATTTTGTCGGAAAGTCTTTTAAAAGTTTTTTTGTCAAATGCTGATACGCGTAAATTAACGTTAATATTAAGTAAAGCAAATAAAAGCAAATAATGCTAGATAACAAATGACTTGTTATTTTTCCAAAAGTCTTTCAAGTAACCAATTCACATATATATTTGTATGATTAATAGTAAATACAAATTCATTAATCATAGACATTTTGTATAATTATCTTCTTACTTGGAATTGTATGATAGTTGCCATTTATCGGGCGGTTAGGGACAACTGGTTCTAGTATATACGCCGATTTTAACGAGCGTATTCATTTTCATTTGACGCAGACAAGTCTACCCGGCTTGATGCGACACAGCAGTCTGGCAACAATAAATAATTGTTACGTGGCTCATTGGCCGCATCCTGCGTTCATGCGCACAGATCTCCCCTCGTTCAGTCTACCGTTCCGTTTACATTGTTCGTCTCTCTCTGCGGCTCAATTCACTTATCAGCCCTTTGAAAACAAGCGTACCGAATTGTTCGTTTATCATCGTGCAATGTGGCGCTACGTAACAGTGTTATCGATACAAGTTAACTTACATTAAGACTGGAATTTATAGTCGATTATTATTCGATAAATGATCATAGTTTTTTTTGTGAATTGCAGATTATCCATCAATTTGTTAACTCTTACTTTATTCTCTCTCTCTCTCTCTCTCTCTCTCTCTCTCTCTCTCTCTCGT